AAGGGATGTTTCATCCCCTTAACGTGCGACTCAGCACGAATGCAAAAATTGTAGTATCTTATTTTTGTCTGTAGTTTAACATATCCAAAGCTTATTGAAATCGGAGGGGACACTTCCGTGTGTTCCCTTGTCAGATTGGTAGGTTCGAGAAAGTTCGAGTGAGTATTCGATAAATGATTCTGCTTTAAGGTGAAATTCTCTTTCTCGCTTGGGGCATAAAGGTATGTTACAACGTGCGAAATGCGGAGAGTCTGTTTAACGAGGCCCGTTTGATAAGTTACGCCATTTACAATATAGCCGCGGTGAATATAACCATGATAGCCATTCAGTACGTAGTCAACGCAGTGCACATTATTACATATACGTGTCTTGCGATAAAACGTTATATATCATGTCAAATTCCGCAGCCTCTTCATATTTCCCCGTGCCGGGCCGGATATCAAATATCTGTTGGGCTTCCTGCGGACTCAGCTTTCGACGTCCGTTACGGTCTTCCTTGTATTCGGCCCTAAAGTAAGACAATCACAATCGAACGAGATCATTATAGACACTGAAAGAATCAGTCTTTGAATTTTGGAATGGCTTTGCGGAAAACAATTTTGTTCCGACTTTAGTACGAATCGCTTTTTTCAATATTTATTTACTGAGAAAAAAATATGAATATAGTAAAAAAAATGCAATAAAAAATATATATTACCATAATTTAAATATAAGTAGTATAATGTATAATCATTTCTGATATTAACTATATATTTGTTTGATAGAATTATATTCTGTCCAACGAGAGAATACCTACGGATAGGACAAAAATTCACGCAGATCTCCTCTTCCTCCCCCTCCCCACAGAATGCTTAGTAAGTCCCTCTGTTCATAGCGCTGTACTGGTCGTGCAGCTTGCAAATTCCAGTTAGCGTAACGCTCTTCCCCAGCTAGTACTCTCTTCCCTTACGTTCCGCATTCACGTTTTTGACGCTTACAGTGCTCACAGGATCGTTTTATCCTTATTGTTTATTAAACGAGGATAAATCATGCTCAGTACATAAACGTTAAAATAAAATGCAGATTGCGCTTATGCACAGATATCCGTTATATCTTATCCGGATATTCTTTCGCTGGACAAAATATATAATATAAATATAATGATTACACTATGTTACAGCAAATTCTTTCCGAAGTGCGACAATATGTTTCCCAAAAATTTTTTTGCGCTGAACACGACACCGTTGGCAGAATTTGCCTAGACATACACGTCGGGATTTTGAATAAATTGGAATAAAAGTAGCAAAAAATGACATTTTTTAAACCATTTTTAACATTTTTTTTGTGGTAAAACAGAAACTAGTTTCTAAATAAACCCAACGGCATCTGAATGTATAATACAAGAGCTTTCAAACGAACTTTGGTTCATGACCGCACGACTTTTTTTCATCAGTTATGACCATTTGAATTTTAGAGTTTCTGTAACATTTACACATCTCAAATATAAACATATAAACAAGAATAAAAGTTGCTTGAGAAGCTCTTTGGAATCATTTTCAATTAACAATAAAGTAATATCATGTAAGTTGACTCTTCATAAAACACACACACACACACACACACACACACGCACGCACACACACCATGTGTAAGTATTATACGTATTTACCTTTCTTGTAAATTTTACAAAAGTCTAAAATTCAAACAGCCATAATTTCATGAAAAAAAGTGCGATCATGAACCAAAGTTTGTTTGAAAGCTCTTGTATTATACTTTCAGATGCCGTTGGGTTTATTTAGAAATTAGTTTCCGTTTTGCCTCCAAAAAGTTAAAAGTAGCCAAAAAATTATTTTTGCCCACTTTTATTTCAATTTACTCATCCTGACGTGTTAGGCAAATTCTGTCAACGGCATCGTGTTCAGCTCGAAAAAATCTTTGGGAAATGTATTGTCGCACATTGGAGAGAAAAAAAAGTGTTTTGTAACACAGTGTTATTAAGCACTAATAATATAATGATTATAGCATTAATAATTGTATAATTGGCGCTCCTAACCGTAATTATAATCACAAATATCAAACATTTTTCTTTCAGTGTTCTTTTTGTTCTTTTATTTCTTTAATTACGTAGCGATAATTAATTGATTTATTTCCAATCGGCGTGGATTCAGGTAATCAGAGTATTGCGAGGCCAAGGAGATCAGTGGGACAGTCGAGCGAGGGCACGCGGCGTCACCGCCAGCTTTTCCTTGAATGGAATTGGTCTAGTGCCAGAGGAGACGACGGACTTGTATCAGGAAAACGAAGAGCTTAAGGTACTTATACGCTCTTATGTACATCTATTTATATTTTCCTTATACATTATACATTTTTCTGCCAATGCAAAACGCTATCAGCGTGATTCGAAATTTCAATTTTTTTCCCTGATCTGAATTCTGCACGTTCAGGAAGAGATTCAGAAGTTGGCCGCGCGAATCGAATTCATGAAGATAGTACATATGGAGATGCATAACCGACACATCAAACCGAAGATGGGCGGTTATTTTAGCACACATGGTCATGGTCACGGGCATCCATCCGCCGGCCAGAGTCCTATCGCTAAAAGCTCAACGGCCAGCTTTATTCTCAAAGTATGTACCTAAATCATTTTATTTCCTTCGTCATTTGATCAACTGTAGGGGACACGAAATTTCAAGACGCGGTGACATAAACGAAATAAAATTTCATCATTTTTTCTGAGAAATTTTATCGCTTATTAATTTACACGAATTACGTGCATTTTAAAAATTGCTGAGATAAATCTACGAAAAGAATCGTGGATAAAAATTATCTCAAAAAATCCCTTATTCCTTCTATGGAGATTGCTGTATTTGCAGTGCTATTGAGATGCGTAGATCAAATTGTATCACACATAAGTATATTAAAATGCAACAAATCTATACATCAGTCGAACCTCAATAACTCGAATCTCAAGAGACTAGAAAAATTGATCGAGTTATAGAGTTTTCGATTTATCGAAATTCCAGTAAAAGAGGGGTAACATATGAAAATTCGACTTA